TTACTTTGGTAGAAATGAATACTCTGGCGAAGATAGCAAAGTGATAATAGTAAATAAAATAGAAGAATATTCCAGAACAGGCAAAGATGGCTAAGTAGGCAAAGTAGGCGAAAATACTATCATAGATCAATGGTATAGAAATTCTAGAACAAGGAAAGAGTATTTCAGGGGCTAAATGCTAGTGGATTATCACAAGGGTAAGATAAAATGTTGGGCGAAGATCAAGTGTAACAACACAGACATCTTGACCTCATGCCAGAAGTTTTTGATAGGGTTTAGATTAGGGCTTTGAGCAGGCCAGTCTAATACCCTAATTTTGTAATCTTCAAAAAATATAGTGGTGATTTTCGAAACGTGGGGTCTTGCATTGTTTTGCTGAAATAAAGGATGCCCATGATCTGTATTTTCCAGATATTTTATTAAGGTGGGTATAGCATATTTGCACAAAATCTCAACATACAAAGTCTCAATAACATTATTAACTAATGGGACTAGAGAGCCAGTTCCATGTCAAAAGAAGCAACCCCAAAACATATGGCTAGGACTTCATTTAACAGTACAGCTTAGGCATTCGACGTCCCATTTTTTATGCGGTTTGTGTCAAATTCGAAAAAGAACTTGCTGGAAAAGCTAAATAGATGTTTCGTTTGACCAAAGAATACGTCTGAAGTGTCGGGCGGTTCAGTTCCTGTGAGCAAGACACCAGATAAGTCTGTTCAATGTATTAATGGGGGAGATTAGTAGTTTCAGGCGTGCAATGCAAGATTTTAAATTTTCTTTTTTTAGGGCACGATGAATAGTTTTTTTTGATACACAGAGTTTGGTTTGAGCAGTAAAAATAGTGGCAACTTGGGCAGCATTTAAATGACGGTTTCCATTAGTTACAAGAGTTTTAAGGGCAGAGTGATTGGTAGCGGTAAGGAGCGGTGGACGTTCAGGACATTTTCTTTGCGATTCAGTGGTTTCTGCTTTATGATACTTACCTATAATATTTCCCACAAAAGACTTCTTACAGCCAACATTATCAACGATGATATAATATGAATCTCCTCTAAGGTAACTATAGATAATGGCTCCTTTTTGTACAATGGTCAAATCTTTTTCACTGCCCATTAAATTCGATTCTTGTTTTTTTATAGTAACTAAAAAAATGCAAAAACATGATTTTTTTTATTTAAAAAATTAAGAAAATAATAATACAAATTAATGTGTTTTCATTTATATATTTATTAAATAAAAAATAAAAAAAAATAAATAAATAAAGAAAAAATAAATAAATAAATAAATAATAGTTTCTTGATTTTCGGTTTGATAATAATTTATGTCTTTAAAGTTTTTTTTTTTTTTTTTTAAAGTAAAAGGTACTAGACATACTGGTTTTTATTGTATTATTTATATCCGCACGTTGAGTGGAACAAATTCAGGGGGTGGAAAATCCTGCCACCAGTTTAAATCCAACCTTCCTGCTAAGTCCAGATTCGGCAACCTTATGGCTACTCGCTGTCAGAGATCTTGTACCTTTCTAGATTGATTAGAACACCCGGATAACCCGAATACTTTTCGCCTAGTTCCTTAAAGAAGATACTTTACTCCTTGTCACCACTTGCGGCTTCAGATTTCCTGTAGGGGTCCTTTTCTTTTAAGCAAGCGTCGGATTGGGATAGCCCTAGGCTAGAGTATTCTTTGTGCTACAGAGTCTGCCATGCCAGGAGGGGTTGTGGGCTTTTATCGGAATTAGACCAGAAACCTTTTCTCGTGCAACCTTTCCTCATGTAACCTTTCCTGCTTTGACCTGTTTTCAGTCCGCAATCGTCAGAAAGACTAGAGGTCCCATTTTTATGTAGCCTAACTAATTTTGGTTAGATCTGGATGTTTGGGTACGACATCTGTAGGAAAACCGGTAAACCCACAAATGAAGGATAATTTTTTTTTGTGCATTTGTCCCCTGTGGGTATTGAACTAGGGACATGCGTTTGGTAACCTGGGAGCACACCCACTGTGCTATAGATCCACAGATCACCTTTAAAGTTTTTTATCATAGATTTTGAGTAAATTATTATAATTACTTGAAATTTAAATATAATATGCTTTATAATATATAAATTTAATTTTGGTATAATAAATTTAATTTTTTTTATAAAAAAAAAAAACTCTTTCCCGTTCACATATGGCGCAGCAACCAACCCGAACAAGAAAGATGGCAAGCAACTCAGGGAACAGTAAAGTCCCTAACAGACAGTCAGATAGAACTCTCAGATATAAAAGAAGAACAGTTAAAGAAGTTACTCTGCTCAGAACCCAACCATATGCAAAGAAACCCAACACCCAAACAAAACAACCATAAACTCTTAAAAACCAAAATGACTCTATACAGTCTGATTCCCCAACAGTTCCAAACCAAAAAACTTTATACATCCACCAAACAAATGAATATAGCAAGACAGAAGCACAACAAAATACTTCACCCAAAGAGAGTTGGGATGAACAGGTATCAAGAGAACAAGATAGCCAGAGAAAACCGGAAATCAATAGAGATAAGCAAAACCCTAAAACACAGGAAGAGACTCTGCAAAGAAATAACAAAACTATCAGAATCGATGACACAGATACAGAAATGAATAGCGACAGTGAAACGGAACAAGACCAATCATGGTTCACCATGTTGAAAGGGAAAGGCAGACAAGAAGGCTCCAGGAAGACAAACAAACCAAGACCTATTTCTCCCTTTGATAGAGTGGTCAGATACGGGAAAGAAAAATACAAGATAGGAATTGCAGCAGATAAACTTCCAGGAAAAACAACATATCAAAAAATCGAACAGATTATCCTTGCACTCAACTCTCCTGAGGGATTGCTTTCAGTCTGCAGCAAAGGGAAAAACGAAGAAATGCAAATCATAGCCATTTTTGGTGATCAACAGGCAGCAGATCAAGCAACTACTATCAAATTACCAAATATAGACAACAAGTTCCTCCAACACATGCAATCGTTAAACCTCCAGATCGAAAAAAACAAATCTATCGTAGTTTGGGACATTTCCCTGAACACAAAAATTGTTGAAGTCAAACAAGCTTTTGCCAAATATGGAGCAATCACCGGCATTACAATGAAAATCAAAACCTTTGGCAAAGTGCCACAATCACTTTCGACAGTGCATTAACCAAAAACAAACTAGTGAAACAAAGAAGTGCACTCATTAAAGGAGACTCAGTGAGAATAAATAACGCAATGTGGACACTCCCACAAATGAAGGAGAGACACAAAATTGCAGCCAAATTAGTTAACCTACCACCCAACACAACAGTATGGGACCTAAGGAATATCATCACATAAAGCAAGAGGCTGACATGTTATATTCCCAGAACATCAGGCCTAGCATATAAACGGAAAAGATTTGCAGTTATCAGTTTCGCCAAAAAAGAAGACCTTCTAGAAGCAGTACAGAACCAATATATTTTAGGAGAAACAGAGATATATTTTGCACCAATTAGCATGAAATTATATACTATTTGTAACCTAGACACTCACCTTGCAAAGGATTGCCCATCAAAAATGAGAAGACAACAATGGGACAATTACTATGAAGAACAAGCAGCCAAATTCGGACCCTTATACAATAAATACAAACCGGCTAAAACAACAAAAATTCGAAACATAAACAACCCGAAGCCCAACAGCAATATTAGAAATGGATCATTTGCAGATGCAGTTAAGCAACCACGATTCATTAATCAAAACCCAACCACCAATGAAATTGTCAGAGTACTACAACAAATCCAACAACAACTTTCAGAATTAAAAGAAAAAATAATAGAGATCGATGAGAGAATCATAAATCTCGAATACTATAATGAAAAATATTACGAAACAATGGAGACAGAACAGGCAAACACTTCAACCAGTAGCAACAACAGCCAAGAAAATAGTATTCCACAACACCAGACACAAGAAAAAACAATCAAAGAAATTAAAAACCAACAAAACAACCTATTCGCATCAGTAGATGGAATCCAAAACAGTATCAACCATTTAGTATCAACAATCGACACAATGACAGAAGACCCAACTCTTAATACCCTTTATACTCAATAATATGGAAAACACCAACAGCCAACATAACGAACAAAAACAAAACAACCAAAACACAAACAACATCGAGGAACATCTGAACAACTTAGAAACACAAATTAACAATCAACTTAATTGGTCAGACTCAGATTCTAACATAGAAAACAACAACATATTAACAATATCACCAGAGCCACAACTATAGGAGACAAACCAGAATGAAACAACTAGGACTCACCTACAGCAAATACAACAAACATCAAGTACAGAGAAACAAATACTATCAGATGACAACTTACCATCATGACATATTACTACCTGCAACATAAGAGGCATCAAGTCAAATCCAGACAAAATGATCCTGTGGCAAGAATGGGTCGAAAAGTCAAACGTGGATATTATCGCACTAACAGAAACAAACATTATTAACAAAGAAGGGAAACATATAACTTTCGAAGGATACCACACAATATGGAGCAACGACAGCATCAAAACAAAAGTATTCGGTGTTGCACTCCTGATTAAACAAAATCTAGCAAAACATATCTACAAGAAACAAACATGGTAAGACAGAATCGTTACGGTTGATCTTCTTTTTAAGCAAAAAAACAAACTCAGAATCATTGCCACATATGTACCTGCAGAATTATACGCAAGCAACAAAGCATGCACAAATGAAGCAATTCGACTCTGTAAAGAGGCACAATCCAAACAAAGCTTAATATTGGTACTGGGAGACTTTAATTTGGTAGCAAACCCAAGCATCGACATGCCAGAATCAAGAACCACAACAGATAAACAATTCAAGCCAACGGGAAAACTAATCTCATGGTTAATATCAAATAATTTTATTGATACCTTCAGAGAAACCAACCCATATAATACAGTACATACATGGAAAAACTCAACAGGCATACACAGCAGAATAGATCAAATATGGATTCGTCCATCTCCACTCTGGTTAACAACAGAGGTATACATCCAAGACCTTGACACAGATACCTTCAAAACAGACCACCGATCTACACATTCTCTCATAAACTATTGGGATACACAATTAATAACAAACACATACATTAGAAATATCCCGAACACAAGATACTGATGGCATGACATCTTGGACGAAGTATGGTTAAAATTTGATGAAGATGTACATATACAACTAAAGCATTCGTGGAAATTAACAGTAAAAGAAAAAGATCAAGCAAACAAAATATGGTGTCTAATAAGAGAAGCAATACTTCAAGCAGCCAGCAAAAATATCAAGAAATACAGAAAAAGGAAAAGAACTGCAAAACCATCAAAACCGCAAACATATATCATAAGACAACTAGTCAAGCTTAAAAATCTAGGAGAAAAAGCTAAGCAAAAAGATATTCAGAAAAAAAAATTTAAGGAAAAAATAGAAAAAATTATAAGCAAACTCAAACATAAACAAAATCTTGTAATAAACAAACCAAAAGAACCATTCGATGAAATAAACATCAAAGAATAGAACCAAAACCTTTAACAAATACTAACTGACCACAAACAAATCCTCAGAAAAATATGCCAAAATCAGAACACAAAAGCAATACAAGAACACATCTCATGGAGACAAGCTTTTTTCACCACAAATAAAAAACAAATGATAAGAAATCTGCTGGATGACCCTAAAAGAAACATTATTCTTGACAAATTAGTTTCTCACGAACCAGAAGAAAAAATCATCACCGAACCAACCAAAATACAAGAAGAAGTCAGCAAACACTTTAAAGAATGGACAAGGAAACGCAATACCATAAACATAACAGATACAATGTGGAAAAAGGAATATAGACCCATGAGACATGTTTCGAAACAGTGGTATGCAAACACAACCAAACCAATTATAATCGAAGAAATACAACAAACAATAAAATCTCGTTCAGTCAAATCAGCACCTGGAACCACAGGCATCCCATACATAGCACTCAAAAAACTGACGCCAAAATCACTCTTCTATATTGCAGAACTTTTCAACCAAATACTTAAACACGAGACAATACCAAATGAGTGGAAACAAGGGAGCATATATCCAATTCCAAAGCCAAAGCCTTGGAAGAATAACATCAACATTACAAGATCCATAACTCTATTGGAAACCACAAGAAAAATATTCACAAAAATCATCAACGATCATCTAACAGCAACACTTAAAACAAATCTGATTCTTTTACCACACAACTGGGCAGCACTACCAGGATGCAGTACACAAGAACCAATCCATATCCTAAGAGCCATTTAAGATGATGCGAAACAATACAACAAACCGGTATGGATACTAAGCCTAAATATGGCGAAAGCATACGACTCGGTCAGCATATCAAGACTTAAGCAAGCAATGAGCAGAATCCAATGTCCAAGAAAAATAATCAATATTATTATAAACATAAGTGATAACAGACAAAATGAGATTATCATACCCTTCGGCCCTTCATCAAAATACACAGTAGAAGATGGAATAGATCAAGGAGACACAATATCCCCACTACTCTGGAGAATCTTCTACGATCCTTTAATTACCTATATAACAAGAGAACACCAGGGATACACACTCACAGCACACCATCAACTAGAAATTACAACCAAACCAACAATAACAAAACAAAAAATTACATGTATCGCATTTATGGATGACACCACACTCATAGCACAAAACAAAGAAGAAATGCAAGAACTATGTGACATCTGCACTAATTTTTTCAACACAAATGATATCAACATAAATGGAACCAAATCTAATCTTATCACAATCAACAGGAAAAAGAAGGAAATAAATCTGATAACCATCCAAAACCAAACAATAACATCACTAACAGCACACCAAACAGCAAGAATCCTGGGAGTATATATCAAAAGTAACAACACAAAACTTTTTCAAAAACAACTAATCAGAGACAAAACAATCAAGTTCGCAAATACAATCAAGTGGAAAACCAGTACGGACAAACAACTCAGATATTTATACAATCATGTATGGATTCCAGCAGTAACATATCTCCTAACAGATATGACAATTACTGAAAAACAAAGTAACAAATTGATGCAAATGCTAAACAGAATTTACAAGCACAAAACCAATATGGTCCTAACTGCACCAAACATGATTCTCTTCAATCCAATCGAATATAGATTTTTTCACATCTGGAACAGACAAATACTAATGCACACAAATAGTTGGTACAAACGAATAACAAATCAGAACCTACTAGGAAAAATAATACAAATGAAACTATAAGAACTACAGAACAGTTGGTGGTCGACATCAGCAGTTACAAGTACAACACTAAAAAAACCATTCCTACCATCAGGACATAACCTTACACACGATATAATAATACTTCTAAGACAACATGGGTTTACAGAAGAAACAAACAACATTAGTATTATAAAAAAAAC